TAATCCTTCAGCTGCTACAATTAAAAAAAACTTGTTAGCTTTTGTTTATTCGGCATTCAGCATAGATTCTGAATTGCAAATTCTGTCTGATGAACGAATAAGGAAAACTCAGAGAAGAAACTAACAATCCCACATGCTGAACCCAGCCATCTTCCTGGCCAGCAAAGAACAGTGTCAATGACCTTTCAATATCACAAATGTGCAAACTGGGCTTCAATGATGCCTTCTACAACTCTTCCAGGCCTACTCTTGTACTATTCAGAAGTTTTTATCAGAAGCCTTTCTCCCAGGACTATATTCTGGTATTCTGATATGGGAGTGGAAGACTGGCATTCACACATGTTGGGCTGTCATCCATTCTTACACTTCATTTAGGCAACAAAAATTTCTGCTATAAGACTGATCTATGACTACTCTCAGATGGATAGAGGAAAGAAGAGAAACAATTATGTGGGATGTGCAGGTCGGACTGAATAAAGCTAAACATGAGAGCTGATGGGAGGGGGTGGGAGAATGATGCTTGGAGGTTAAACACCTGAGTGATTCCTGGCCAAGTCACTTACCAGTAGTTAATCTTGTTAAAATAAACAACAAGCCAGCTCTGAGAACTTCTCAAGCAGTCAGAATCAGTTTGACTTAACCAATTTTGCAAGACTAACTTGATCTAGGTCATTTCTCCTTTAGGCCCCTGATAATCCTAAGCAAAACATAGTTTCCCAAAATTGATGCATCCTTCACTAACCCAATTCTCAATCATTTAAGAAAATTCTAATGTCCCAATGAATCACTGTGAAGAACAATCACTGCTTTCTCCCTATATAAACTGTTTTAGAACAGTACCTCCCTGAGCTTCAGTCCACGTTTTGGTTTGCGTGCTCCAGGTTTGCAAACTCTCTTTTTAGTGTGCACGGTCAACTTTCATCGGCTTTACTTCTGTTATATCTGGGCTTTTAATACTCTCCATGCCTCTGCTTTCTCCTCTGTAAAATAAGGCTAAATAATTCCTAATCCTCGGATAAGGCACATATTATTGCTGCTGACACTAGGAACGAGAAAGTCATGGAGAAAGCTATTATCTGGCGACCACTGGATGCAGAACAACTCGTGTTGGGCACTTTCCTTTGCTTTACTTAATCATCATGCAAATCCAGCGTCCGTTTTCCCGAAAAGAAAACTCAGGCCAGGGCCGGACCCGCATCTCGCAGGTTCGGGCCGTGACGCCCGACCCGGCCCGGGCCACGGGCCGGCTCCCCGGGCGAAGGGCCACCTTCCCCTTCCGTCCCCGAAGTCCTTGAGACCGGCGCCCATCCTCGCCGCTCGCGGCGGCCGCTGGGCCCCCAGCCCTGGTGCCCCGCTCCCACCTGTGGATGCACCACGACTCCAGGTGGCGCAGCGACCGCTTATAAAGCCGCAACACCTTCTGCTGGTGGGTCAGGTAGGCCGCCGGCGCCGAGAACGCCATGACGGCCGCTCACCTTCAGCCGCGCGCGGCCTCCTGGGAGGCCGGAAGTGCCTGTTGGGGGCGGGACCAGCGAGGTCACTTTCGCTTCCGCCCCGCAGGACCCGCTTCCGCCCCGCAGGACCCGCCGCCGCGGTCATGAGTCGCTTTAAGTTTATAGGTAAGAGCGTCCTCCGGGCCTTAGGCGCTGCTGCTGCCCGTCAGGCCTCGTCCGCTGTGGCCACAGAGCCTGGGACTTGAAATGTCCGAATTTTTAAGGGTTGAAAGGGCGCTCAGTGGGCGAACGAGCGGGGGCTTCTGGGTAATGGCGATGTTGTGGCTTTCGGGCCAGGCGCTGGCGTCACGGAAGTGCTTACTTGAAAATTCATGAACTGAGCAATTTTGATTTATGTTCTTTTCAGTATATGGTCGTGTTCAATAAAAATGGAAAAAAGGAAGTGAAAAGACCAGAAAGGCCCATCACCTTGGTACTCGCCATCGCCCCGCACCTCACCCCCTGCCCGGCCTCGAGGGGGCCCTAAAATGAATGCATCCGTCCTGCTTTTACCGCACCCCTTTGGTGGCGCTGGCACCCGTCCCCTGCTCTGCTGGCGTCGCCCCATCTGGTGACAAAACTGCGGGACACAGTAGGAAAAAACTAGTTCTGTTACTTGGCAAATAGAAGAATTCATTCAGCATCAGTCGAGCAAAAGGGAGATGCCGGACGCAGCCAGAGGAGCAAGCATGTTCACTACCAGGCGCTTAGGGAAATCGGGGGGAGGTTGTGCGAGCTAGCCTTGGAAAGGTGACTTGGGATTGCAGGTCTTGCTGAGTTTCGTTTTACTGCATGTAGAGTGGAGCTCTGCTGAAGGCTGTTGACAGGGAGCGCTCGTTCAGTAACTCATGGTGTGCCAGTTGTCTACCCGCAAGCTTGGACTGTGAGACACAGCTTGGGGTAAAACTGCATGATCCTAGTCTTCGTGGAGCCTATCACTACCTTAAAGTGGAAAGTGATGGTCACATGTGTGCGTTAGTAAGGTACTCTTGACAGCGATTGTGTGGGTTTTGTGGAAGACAGGGAGAGGCAGAGAAGCCGTGTAGAGCTTGAGTTAAGGCAGTGGAAATGGGAGAGAGAAATGAGATGTGTATGTACTCAGCACCTATCAGCTGAATGTATAGGGCAGGTAAGGGACAGTGAACAAAGATGACTATGGTTTGGGGTAAATACCAGGATATGAGATGGAAGCGTGATTGGTTTGGCAGTGCCGTGGAGATGTAGTGACATCTATTTGGATTAGGTTAAATGACATCCTTATAGGATGTCCAGGTAGAGATGCTGGTAGATAATTGGAAATGTAGTCTGCACTCAGGAGAGAGGTTAGGATTAATAGCTTATATCTGAGAGTTGTTTGGCACAGTTGTTTTTTTTGTTTTCCACAAATACTGTGCTAAGTACTGTGGAACGATGAAAAATTGATGGCGCCGTTTTCAGACAGCAGAGGTATGTCCAGTCAAACTTTGGTACAGACAAAGCAAATGCAGAGAATTTATGAAACGCTGTGGAGAAAACTGAAGTGGAGTTGAGGGGTAAGTCCTCATTAGAGATACTTTTCAGGTGTGATGTCTGGCAGGCTCTCCACACTAATCTGTGATGTAATTGGTGGGGGATGTGGGGTAAGAACCATGAAACACCCCAGAAAAAAAAGGCATTAATTTTATAGAAAAGTGTGTGTGTGTAGTATCAAGTTAAATCCAGGTCTCAAGCCATGTATCCTTAAATCTGACCTCAATATGGCTTCCAGAGTGGTCTATATAAAATAACATTTTTCATTTCAACTGCATTTTTCTTCTGCCTTCAGGGTTTCAGGAGGTGCTGTTTTCTTGCTTCTGATAAGGTTTTAGAGTGAGAGTTTGGGGCCATAATGTCCTCTCTGCCTCTCGTGTCTTATTACCCTCTTGCCTGGTTGATTTTCCCTTGTTCTTTAAGATTTCATAATTCCACGTTTTTTAAATATTTATTTAGCTGCCTCTCCCACTACACCACACTCTTAAGTCAGATGCCTAGTGCTATTTATCTTTGTTTCCCAGGAGTTTAATACAGTGACTGTTTCACTAAATAAGTATGAATGACTGGGCAGCATAATATGTTGCCTTAGTGGTAAGGTGATAAGAAAATTAATGAAGAAATCTAAACCAAATATGCTAGAAAAAACTTACTACAGAAGTTAAGGGAATAATTTTTTTGTATTTGCTCCTTCACTTCCACTCTCCTGAAGTTAACCATTGTTAATTTACCTTCCTTAATTTTGTAAAATATTTATACAGACACATAAAAATACGCAGACATGGGCCTCCCTGATGGCGCAAGGAGTTATGTCTCAGAACTATGAAGCTGTCGGTAGCCACTGCAACACCAGTTCAATCCCTGGCCAGGGTCTGACCCACTATACTGACTTCTCTGTCATGAACAGTACTTTGAAAAACATCTTAGACCCATAGAAGATTGGTTCATGAAACAATTGCATGAAAATTAAACCTGTGCTACAAAAGCAGGTTTAGATTTTGGTTTAGGACAACTGACTACCCCAGATTATAGTCCTGCTTTTCACTTAACAAGTGGCTATACCATGTTTCAAATATGGGTGAGGGATGGGGGAAGCAGAACTATTTTTTTTTCCTCTGGGGGGACACCTACCTCAACTTTCTGTCCCAGGTTATACTTGCAGCTAATTTCTTTGACTTTGTTGAGTAAATGTCTTCAATCTGTAATAGCAATAACAATCTATACTTTATCGTTGTCAGGTGATGGGATTTGGGGTGCAGTGGAGCCTCCCTTTTCAAAGCATCAGTGTTTTAAAATTCATCCATCAAAAGTTCACTTAAGGACACAGAAGAAGGACTGACAGGGATGTCAGCCATCGTGTGTAGATCTTGATGCATTTGCAATATGTGTGTGGATGTCTCTTGTTTACCTTTGAAATAATATAGTGCCCTTTTTAAGCTAAAAAGGTATTTTATCCTCTAAATCTTCTAAAGTAAATTTGATACTCCAGGGAATGTGTTATATATTGTCTGGAACACCCTTTAGTTTGAGAAGCAAAGCTTTAGGTGATTCCTATCCAAGCAGCCTCCTCACCACCACGAAGTGAGCCTGTGAGAGAGCAGTGGGCAGTAGTAGGAACTTCCTCCTAGGGCCATCCAGCTATGTAAGGTTTACCTGTAGTTGTGTTCTTTAACGGGATTCTTACCCTGCCCCATGTCCCTGGAAGCAGGCTGGTTAGTGCTTCTGATCGTATTTCATAATCGGGCTTATTTCCTATTCTTTGTCTTTAGTTCTCTTGCCAGCCTGGTGATTTATTCATTCATTCTGCAAATATTTACTGAATCTCTTCTGTGTCTTCCACCTACTGTGCTAAATGCTAGGAATCAGTCCTTAGCAAAAACTTGCTCACAGTCTAGTGGTGGAGACAAAGCACCTCAGCAGTGCAGAAATTTTGACTCCAAAACATATTCACATTCCAGAACTTCAGTTCTCCATTTTATTGTAATTCCTAGAACTTGCTCACAGGTGGAATACTTTCAGATGATCAGTGTGAATCTTTCCTAGGCCCCTTTGTATTGATTGAGAACAAGTCAATTGAGAAACAGTGCTCTACAGACACAGTGAATGCCTTTCGGTCTTGAAGATAGAGTCTGTGCCTATGCACGTCTGTCTGTAGGGTGGCCTTTCTGTTTGCCAGCTTAGAAGCCTTAGCTTCTTACCTTCCTGCCCCTCCTTTGTGCTCCTGGGCACATAATGATGCTCCACAGGTTTGCTGTGTGTAGAACTCCTGCTCCGTGCCGGCCAGCGTGCTAGCCAGCGTGCTAGCATCTAGAGATTCAATAGTGAAGGATATAAACATTTCTTGCCTTGTGTTGCCTACACTCAAGCTTATTGTATCACAAATACAGATTACATCTATAGTTCCCACACAGAATATTAAATTCTTGAAGTGCAGGGACCAGGTGTTGGTATGTATTCATTTCCAGGCCCCTAACTCCTTACATAGTATTGGCAGAGTTGGTCTTCACACGTAATTGGTGAGTAAAGGAAATAAATGATTTGCATTTCCACTTGCAGTACCTTAATTCAGGCTCTTTTCACTGCAAATATGAGATCTTGCCTATTTCTAAACGAGATATCCTCACTCCATTGCTCTTCATACCCCACCTCCCACAAAGGCACCAGGATGAGAGAGCCAGGATGCTAGTCGGTCCGCTGCCCAGAAGCCTTCACTGCCTCCTGTTGTGTGTGGTATTTTTGTAACATCGCTGAGTCTGACCTTTCCCTCCCTTCAAGTCTCTCCAGCAGCTGGAAAGGCCAGTGACTCCCTCCAAAGCACTGTTCTCTTTCACACCCTGGATACTTTGCTCTTGCTGCTTCCTCTGTCTGCAGTTTCCCCTCTTCTTCCAGGGCACTCTTTTAAGATTAGTTCAGGGATCCCTTCTTTCTGGATGCCCCTCTGGGGCACCTCTCCAACTAAATAGGATGTTCCTAGTCTGTGTCCCGCAGCTGCCAGTGTCTACTGGTAAGAGTTCTAGATTGCCTGTTCATGGGTCTGCCTTCCCAAGTCTGTAGTGAGTTTCTTGAGTGCTTGAGTTATATCTTACTCACCTTTGGATACCAGGTATCCGCGCCATAACTAACAGTAGTCACTTAGATGTTGTTTGAGCTTATGAATGTGTGAATGACTATTTCAGCAACAAGAGTTTTTATTTAAAATAGTTTCAAATAGAGGCTCTTAATGATTAGTCATTTATTTTACTTTTGCTTTTCACAGATATTGGTATCAACTTGACAGATCCTATGTTCAGAGGGATTTATAGGGGAGTTCAAAAACATCCAGGTAAATGTCTCCTTTTTTAAGCTAAATAATTTCTCCATGAAGATAAATGTTGTGCCTCAAGAAGAGCTTAAAAAGAATAATCTGTTCTTTAACTGAAATATTAATAGACTTAAGCATCTTGGATAAAATTATAAACAAAGTGAAACATAAATATATATTAATAAACTATGAGAGAACATTTATACAGTAACTGTTATAACGAAGTGTTAATTACACCTCTTTTGTCTGTAGGGGTTTATAATATTGAATGTAGACTATTGTAGCCATCTGCACAAAAGCCAAACAATAATTGATGTTTTAATTAGTCTTTTAGCAGTTGAGCAGTAGGGTACAGAATTCAAAAATCTATTTTTTAAAAAACATTTCCAACTAGGTGACAAACGACAGCGTGACTAGGCAGGCGTGTGCTGCTGTGTCGTTCCTTTCCCCTTTCCACCCAAGTAACACTGGCCCTCGATAGCCATGGTGTGGGTGGGGAGAGGCAGTAGTACCTCAAGGACTGACGGAAAGCTTAGCCAGAAGGAAAATAGCTTATACTTATATAACACCAAGTTCACTTAAAAGACTTCTTTTGTCACTTGCAGTGACTAAGCAGGAAATGATGGTGACAAGTTTTGAAAGCAGAATGTCTCTAATAACTAAGCCTGTGAATACTGCCTCAGAAAAGTGCTATACTTGTTATTGTATAAATGCAAACAGAAAATTTTGTGATTCTGAATGATGTGGAATTGTACATTTCAATCTACTAAATCAAATCTTACTATGTCTCTAGGTGATACTTAGTGAAAGCTCTGAATATAGGGAGTGTTAGATGCCACTTGAAAGAAGAAAGGTAAATGTTAGCTCTCATAAGCCTTACCTCAAAATTTACTGCTTTGGCTTCCAGTGGAAGTTTAGATGATGTTTTTATGTATTACATATATGATACTATAAGACCACTGAAAATTTACATTTTGCTTTTCTTGCCTTTCTAGCACTTAATAGATTTCATGCTTTCTATACACATTTGTGAAATTTCATTGTGATCAGTTTCAGTCCTCTAATTCATAACATTGAGTAAAACTCTTTTGCCTTAGTATAAATAAGTTTACTAGATGGATGCTTTTTTGTCTAAAAGAAGTTTTTTAGCTACTCTAGAAAGAATAGTAATTGAATGTTGATCACATTTTTTGTGCTATATAAATGTGAAATTAATAAATTTTTATGATATAATTGTTTCATTTGGCAGCCATTTCTTAGGCCTCTCCGTGCTTAATAATTAGTGTTGATCTCCTGAGAAAAGTTTAACTTTACTTAACAGTGAATTTTGGGGGAAAATAAAAAGCAACTGGCAAGGAAAATAAAAATTAATGGGAATAGTAATTATAAAAATATAGCATTAACTGAAGTTTGCAAATAAATGTTATATTATCTTTTAGGAGGCATTACAAATGCATGCCAAAAAGTCCTAGTAAAAATAAACAATCTTAATGATTATTTTATTTTTATTAAAAAAAATACAATACCAGTAAGTTTCAAGGTCAGGGCAAGTGATTTAAATTATACCAAGCAAATTCCACTAGTTTGAACCTCCTAATTTTTGTTCGTTTCCCCTGTTTGGATAAAAATGCAATTAAATCAATAACTATTCATCTAGTTTGCTTTCTATGGATTTTTTAAAAAGTTATCACTAGTTCTATTTTTTTTATATAAGTATTCATCAATTAGTTTTGATTTGACTTTGATGTATAAATGTGGTTGTTACCATGAATTTTTATTTCAAGACAGGGTGGTTAAATATAGGGTGGGTAAATTTTATTTACCAGGTTTTCTTAATGTGGGGTTATATTTTACAGATGACTTAGAGGATATAATACAGAGAGCTGTCCAGATTGGTGTAAAAAAGGTAACTCAGTTTTGTTACTCTTGAGAGCTTTTAATAATAAGTTCTGGTTAAAATACTGCAGAATAGAAGGGAAAGAGCCATTGCCACACTTGGTATTTGGAGATATACTGTCAACATAGTGACATTAGTAAGTTAATGAAATGAAATGTCAAGATATTCTCTTCAAAGCAATTTAATTGACACAGACCTTATGGGTAGTTCTTCCATGTGATCAGAAATAATGATAAATGACAAGGTCTCCGAAAATTTTTAAAAACGTATGTGAAATAGCAAGCTTCTTTAATAACATCATTTAGCATGTTAGAATTAAGTGGTCATAAAAAGACATGTATCTCTCTCTAAGTTTAGCTTTTATGGTGTAGGTATACCATTTATGACCGAGAGGATACTTTTATTTTCAAAATGATGATTTGATTATTGGGGACATTCCTCCTCTTAAGCAAATGAATATTAGTTTACTGTCATTATTAGAATAGCTGCTTCTTTAAAAATAGCAAACTAGCCCACACATGTACACACACACACACAAATAAGGTTAAATTCCACAATGTGGTATATCAGTTTTAAATAATGGCACTGCTGACTAAATGAGTTCTTTCATCTCCAACTCCAAAATTAGTATCAGTCATTATGTACAAGTAATAAGAAAAGATTAAAGTTACAATAGTAATTTCTTATGGTGTGGTCATTTATAAGTCAGTTTGGTAAGTCAGTTTATAAAATATTTTCCTGCAAACTCAAACTATACCAAGTTCCTAAATTTCAGCCAAGAATACTTTAATCTTCACATTTCTAGTTGCATGCAACATCAACTTAGAAGTGACAGAACTGAAGTGAAATTTACTTGGATGAGTTCTGAATTAAAATTTAATTCAGTACCTTGCAGTTATAAGCACCATAGAAGTAGTTACAAGCACAGATGTGGCATCAGAAACCTGACTTCTGTTTCCCAATTCATCCTTCACAGCTTTGTAACCTGCTTCATCTCGCTAGACTTCATTTTTCTCATCTGTAAATAGTGAACAGAAGAATCTAATTAATAGAATTGTTGGGGGGGGGTAGGTAAAATATGGAATGCAGTACACTTGGTATTACACCTGGCATAATCAACCTCCATTGTGTGGAAGCTGCCATCTTTCTATCACCACCTCCACCATCATCCTTATCATCATCCTCACTTGTAAACTGGGAGACGAAATTACACTCTTTGGTCTTAATGATTTTTCACCTACTTTGAAAAGTTAGGTTAAAAAAAGACTTGATTAGAAACTATTTTACATAACTGAAGTGTTGGATGTGGGCAACTGGTCTAGTATTTAAAAAATAGGTAGTAAACAATACAGTTTTCCCTATACTTTTGTTAATATTTTAATGCTATGTTTTACAGGCAGTGGAGAATTTATTTATGGCTGTGTGTTCCCTGATAGTAACTCAAAGTCTATCAAAAGTTTAAGTTACTATGTGAAAATGTCTGTTTATCATTTGTACTTCCTCCTATATTTTGTATATTTTGAAGTAAGGCTTAAAAGTATACATCAGCGTGCCATAATCATTGCTTTAGAAGGTGCATTTAAGCGGAACTGCCTTTGTAGTCACCATAACACAAAGCTTTATAGTGGTTATTTTTCCTTTTAACATATTAGCAAAAGATGGCGTTTTCACCACTAGTGCATCTAATAACTCTCTCTATAGACATTTACTGCTTTGACTGAGCCATAACTTTTCCTACAAAGGATCCATCATTTAACCCAGAGATTCTCAAACTTTCTCTTCTCAGAATTCCTTCACATTCCTTTTATTATTGAGGACCCCAAAGAGCTTTTGTTTATGTTAATTTTAGCTATTGATATACACTATATTGGAAATTAAAACTCAGGAAATTTTTAAATGTCTAGTAATTCATTTAAAAGTAACAAAAAACATATGTAACAGAAAACATTGTATGTAACAGAAAACATCATATAAACATTTTTATGAAAAGTATTTTTCAACCAAAAAATTTTTTTTTTTTAATCTTAAATTTTATTTTTATATTCCCATACAATTGCAAACGCCCATTCTGACCCAATCCTTCCCCTCCGCCCCCACCCCAAAAAGTGTCTCTGGTTCATAGTTTTTGTTGATTTTGATTTTCACTTTCTTATATTCATTTTCCTGGTCCCTTATTTAAGTTTTCTAGATTCCTGCTATGAGTGAGACCATCCGGTATTTTTCTTTTTCTTTTTGGCTTATTTCGCTGAGCATGATCCCTTCCAGCGCCATCCATGTTGCTGCAAATTGCATGTGTTTATCTTTTTTGAATGCTGAGTAATATTCCATGGTATATATGTACCACATCTTCTTGATCCAGTCATCTACTTTTGGGCATTTGGGTTGTTTCCAAAGCTTAGCTATTGTAAACAGTGCTGCTATAAACATAGGGGTGCAGGTGCTCTTTGGAATTGATGTTTCTGTGTCCTTTGGGTAAATACCTAGGAGTGGAATTGCTGGATCATATGGAAGCTCTATGTTTAGTAGGTCCAGAAATCTCCACACAGCTCTCCATAGTGGTTGGACCAGTTTGCACTCCCAACAGTGCAGAAGAGTTCCTTTTTCTCCACATCCTCGCCAACATTTGTTGTTGCTAGTTTTTTTAATATGTGCCATTCTCACTGGTGTGAGATGGTATCTCATGGTAGTTTTGATTTGCATTTCCCTGATGACAAGTGATTGAACATTTTTTCATATGTCTGTTGGCCAAACCAAAAAAATTTAATGACGAGTGGAATTATTTTACATCTCTTTAATGTCTGGATTAGTAGAAGACAACTGAACTTTCTGTTTCTGCAGTCAGCCTGTGATGTTGTGATGTCACACAACATGTAGCCTCTGGAATACCTCGTTGCCCACCAATGACAGAATGGGGTGAAAATGACAAACAGCATCTTAAGAAAATAGTTTTGACCTCTCATGCTCGGGTGGCTCTGGACCACACTGGGAAAACTATTGAATTAGTCAGCACTGTTGAATCACTGATTAAGAGTAACAGAATTCTAAATTCAGTGGTCTTTAGTTATTTCAGGCTGCCTAAAACATGGTCTCTGTCCTTACAGAACTCCTATCTAGAATGAGAGACATCATATAGGTACATTTTAATAGGGGAGTGGCAAATTCTACATGACATGCATGTGATTGTGTGCGTGTGTATGCATGTATACTTGTGTGCGTTTGCGTGTGTGTAGAGAAGTCAGGCACCACTACATAAGAGGTGGTATTTCAGCTGAATTTTAAAGGGTAGGTGTGTGATAGTCAAAAAGGGAAAAACATTCTGGTAAAAAGCAACAGGAAGCCATGTTTGGGAAACTGATGATGCCCAGGTTAAAGTCAGCTTATTTTTTTTCTTTTTCAGTTTATGATTACAGGTGGAAGTCTGCAAGAGAGTAAAGACGCACTGCATTTGGCACAAACAAATGGTATCCTCATATTACTTTTACCAAAAAAATAAGAATTAAGTTATTTTGAAGAAGTCTCTCTGACTGCTACTTCAGGTACAATACAATGGATAGTGACTGTAGAAACAACAGGAAAACAGACCGATGTCAGACTGTTAACAGACTGATTAAAATGAAAAAATTCAATCTAATGAAAAAAATTAATGAAAAAATTCAAAGTGCCCATTGGTATACCAGATGCTTAAATAAAATCCTCTCATTGTACTTAACAAAAAATTATTTTAAAATTTCAGTTAAAGGAAATTAACTGCTTACCTGGTAGATAATTTAGTCTCAGATATTCCTGATGTAGAATTTTTTTGTATTTTTTTTGAAAGATTTATTTATTTATGCATACAAGAACTGGGGTACAGGCCAGAGGTATGGGTAGGTAAGAGGATTCACCAGAGACAGAGTGGGGAACAGAACAAGCAGATTGACTGAGGTACACAGCTGAGGGTAGCAGCAGGGCAAGTCAGGAGAGGTCTGCTGCACCATGTGGGTTGCTCTCTAGCTGGCCGGGAATCGAACTCATGCTGCAGTGACTGCGGATAGCTTCACAGGTTGCATCTTAACCCTTGCGCCACCAGGGAGGCCCCTTTTTTTTTGTATTTTGTAATGTGTTTCTGTTAAACTCTTAACTTAATCTGTGAAAAGATCATTTATTAAAGATTCTGCAGACCAGACACTGTAAAGCCCTAGGAATGCAAGTAATATAATATATAGTCCTTCATATGCTCACTTTATGTTCATTTTGTATTTAAAGTCTAGAATAAAGTTTTGGAATTGATTCCTAAAGGAATCCTAGATACATAAAATAACTTAAATCTGCTTTTAAATTTTTTAGCCTTTTTATTTTTGCATGTCTCGTGCTATATATACTGGGGATTTAGGCATGCCATATTAATATTTTTTGAAATACTGATTCATAAAATACTGGTTTTTAGTGGAAATCTTTCTAAATACTTACTACTCTTCGTGGTCTGCTGATACTTTTTCTTAGTGGTTCAGATCGTAAAAATAATCCTCTTCCCAGAATCTCTTGAAATACATAAAAATACTCTTTTCCATACTTTTTATCGCCAAACAGGTACTTTAAAACGTCCTCAGATCTCCATTTTCATCTCTTGTCCTCCCCCCTCCATGTACCTGTGCCCTCACTACTTTAAAAACTCTGCCTCCCTTTACACGTAAACATCTGCATGGGGTCCCGAGGAAGGCTCTGTGCCTTCCCCATGGGTTCAGGGGAAGTTACCTGAAGCCACTCAAAATAGCTTTTGACCTCACATTTATGTTCCATACAGTCAAAACTCTCCAAGTCTGGCCTCTAAATAAGTGAGCTTTGTTATTAGAAAAACCAATCCCCTCTCCCATCACTTAAATCACCCTTTTTAAAGGGAATGCATTTTAACTATTATATTAGACACATGAAACAAGACAGTCACATGAACAGCCAATATAAAAAATAAAATTAGGTGATAATATTTTGTTCTCCAAGTAATGGCTTCATTTTTTATTCTCTCTAGCTCAGTAAATACCAAGCTTTGGAATGAGTTGACTCAATTATTTTTATTCACACATTAAGGCAGTTTTCATAGTCACAGCTTTGTTAAGGTATTCCAAAAAATTTTATATGATTAATCTAATGCAAATCTGGTAGTTTGAATCGTTGATGATTACTGTTAAAAATTAAGCTGTTGAAATAATTTGGTATTCTGCATATTAAATATATAGTATTTTGCATATTAAATATAAATATGGAAAATACTTTGAAAATAATCCTAAGACATTTTGTGTTAGACATGTTTTTCAGTACAGTTGGATGTCATCCTACAAGATGTGATGAATTTGAAAAGAACAACCCTGATCTTTACTTAAAGGAGCTGCTAAATCTTGCTGAAAACAACAAGGGGAAGGTGGTAGCCATAGGGGAGTGTGGGCTCGGTGAGTGCAGCCTGGAGACTGTGTGTGAAAATAATTGATTGTCCTGTTGAGTCATGACTATTTACAGATTCTTTTTATTTTCAAGATTTTGACCGACTACAGTTTTGTCCCAAAGATACTCAGCTCAAGTAAGGAAATTTATTTGACCTTAGAAATTATTGTTAAATCTTAAGCATGGTTATTAACAGCTTTTATCAGTTCAGTATATATTTGGATTAAGCATCAGGATTTCCTGTTTTTCACTTTCTATATTGAAAAGCTTATAATTCCCTAACTGATAAACTATCTGATTTGATTTTAATGGTAGAAGTAAGGATAATTTTACAAGATAGAGCCTTTTTTTTGTATGTTTGTTTGTTTAATTAATGCATTTGTACATGAACCCTTTCAAGAGTAAGGGATGCTCCAAGAGGATTATAGCAACCATCACCAAAGCTAAAAAACTATCTTGTACCCGCAGTAGATATTAGATGACATGCCTTAGAGACTGTTTCCAACCCATCGCCTTCGCTTGGAGCTCCTGGGTCAGTGTTCCACACAGAAAATAAAATTAGGTCATGAGATTGATTTAAAACTTGAGCATTTTGTTGAATTTCAAAAATAATGTCTTAATTATCAAGATGGTAAAACATTAAAATGAAGTTCTAAAGGTGGTTAATTTAGTTATTTTTTTCTACTCAACAAATATCTGTACTTTAGGTGCCAGAAACTGCTAGAACATAGTATACAAAAATATGAACAAGGTATATTATCTATTCCTAGAGACACTTAGATAGGCAAATCTTCATCCCGCTCAGTTTCTTAAACACAAAGGAGGAATCTCCTCTTAAATTCACTTTGAAGATACTGTCCAATTCTGTCAAAATAATTAATAATTAACCATTTTTGTCATATGATCTTGATTAAGCTAGTGGGTGACCTGAAAGGAGTTTTCAGATTATGCATACCAAAAGTATCCGCCTCTCCTCCCTCCCCTGCCCTGCCACAGAGGAGATCCTGCTGTTCCAGCCCAGTTGAAAATGTACACAGTGAGTGAGCAGTGGGCTGACTAGGGAACATGTCACACCCTAGACTTAAACCTCCAGGTTCTCGGAGTATGAAGGTCCATAACCAGGGGGCAGAGGAAGGGTCAAAGTCATGTACTGTGGACTCTCTTTCAGGCCTCCCATTTATATAACCTATCACCGCTTATTAGTGGTATATTATTTGCTGGGTTTTTCAAGGACATTTGTGTGATTAACAGCTGGATTATCACTTGATATCTCTTGAATTTCATGTAGGTGGGCTCACTCAACCTTAAAAGTTCACATATTCACATTTAAGTTGAAAAACAGTTGTCTGTAATAGTTTTTAGGTTATGCCCGAAGGAAGGGAGTCATCATTCCTCCGTTTCTGTCTGTTTTCAAGGTCAGCCTCCTGAGGCAAACAGACTTTGTAACGGGATGACAGTCAAGGGCCCATGAATAACATTTCTGAAAATCTGTAATTTCAGAAAATAAAGTATTCCTTTCTAGAAGTTTTATGTTATAAAGGCTTTACTAATAAGCCTGATGTATTTAAATGTCTGAATTAATTTTATCCTACATTTCTGTCCTAATTTCTAGAGGATAAAATTCCTCTAACCCAAAAAAAAAAAAAAAAAATCACTCGATGTAATTGTATTTCTCATGCTAAAATAACATTTTAACAAGGAAATCTTTTTTGCATTATAAGATATTTTGAAAAACAGTTTGAACTCTCAGAACAAACAAAATTGCCAATGTTTCTTCACTGTCGAAACTCACATGATGAATTCTTAGGTGAGTCAAAGCTAAAATCTTTTTCAGAATTTAAAAATTTTGCAGAAATCAAGCTATTTGCTGAAAGTTCTCTCTTTTAATTCACAGACATAATGAAAAGAAACAGAGATCGATGTGTAGGTGGAGTGGTAAGTGTAAGAGTTGTTTGTTTGTTTTTTTTTTAAGATTTATTTATGCTTACAAGAGCTGGGGTACAGGCCAGAGATGCGGGGGGTGAGGGATTCACCAGAGACAGAGTGGGGAACAGAACAGCCAGACTGATCAAAGTACACTGTTGAGGAGAGCAGCAGGCGAGACAGGAGAGGTCTGCGGCCGGGAATCGAACTCGTGCTGGAGAGGCTGAGGATTGCTTTATAGTATGGTGCTTAACCCTTGCGCCACTAGGGAGGCCCCAGTATAAGAGCTGTTTTTAATGTATGATGCATGAAAGCATCTTGGTAATTACAAAGATTGGCCTCTAAAGTAATTCACATGTAACGGTAAATTTGTTAAGGCTTTCTCTCATTTGAAGTACATGTAAGTTTACTGTTTGATCTCTGGGCCAGATGTCATCCAAACATAAATCATACTTTCATTTTTTTATTTTTATTTTTTTAAAGATTTATTTATTCATTTGTTTGTTTGTTTGTTTATTTATACAAACACTGGGTACAGTCAGAAGCACGGGAGGGTGAGAGAATTCACCAGAGCCAGAGCAGGGAGCAGAGCAGGCAGAAGGACCGAGGTACACTGCTGAGGGGAGCAGCGGGTGGCAGAAGAGGTCTGTGCACCATGTGTGCCCTCCTCCGGTGACTGGGGAGCAGCTGGGGATCGAACTGGTGCTGCAGAGGCTGCGAGCAGCCTCGCAACCCAGCGCTCAACTGCTGCATCACCAGGGAGGCCCCATAAATCATACTTTTAATTAGTTACTTGTTTGGAGTACAAGAATTGAGTACAGAATTCTGGTCATAAGAAAGTCCATCGATTTACCCCTACACATTTTAACAGTGCATGGGATATTTCTTCTCTGCCTCTTCTACCAGCCATTCTTTAAATGTTCTTCAAATTAAATTTTGAGCAAAAATATAAACTAATTTTAGTAGTATTTTAAAATTTTTCACATTCATTTCAGGTTTGCCTTCTTAATTTCTTGTCAACTCTGTTCATAAACTATTACCTCAGTGATCTAGAGCCTCTCCTTTCTGTAGTTTGCTGCTTCTGTGCTAATAAGCCTTTCTCTGTAGGGTCATTTCAGTCATTAGCGTTGAGCTGTTTCCCTAAGTGTTATCTGCCCACCATTTAACTCAAGTGGCCATGCTAGTGCTTTTTCATCTTTTCTGGATCATTAATGCCTCTGAAAATCTGCCTCAGAAAATGCTCGAAAATACATATTTTCTATCTTCAGGAGAGCCTCATTGATCTCCAGCAAAAAAGCTGTTATCCAGCTATAAAAAAATCTCTATACTGTGCCAGCTAAGGAAAGAGGAACAGTACCAAGCCTTTACTGTGTACCCATGTTGTGTTGCTTTGACATTTTATGTAGTCTCTCAAGTTTTTATTCAGCATCTGCATCAATGTTTATACTACAAGTGATGTGTGTTTCCTGTGTTGCTGTGGTGTTGATATTACTGAGCACTTCTTTGTAGCATACTGGCCAGCTTATTCTTTTGGAATTGCACTTGGGAACTGAGAGACTTTCGTTAATGCCCTTGAATTACTGGTGGCACTTAATAGCCTTCAGTCTTTACCTCTTAGCCCATTTGCTTTATTTCTAAATAAGAATTAAATTGGATGATTCTATAATAGTTAAAAAAAATAACAGCAACAACAATCCAACTTGGGTTCAATTTTAATTAAAAAAGAGATTGCGAAATAAAGAATAATTCTCTGAAATACTTGTTGAAGAATCACATTTAAAATTATTTCAATATTGGGCCTCCTTGGTGGTGCAAGGGGTTAAGTCTCAGCACTATCAAGATAGCAGGGAGTGGGCCTCCCCGGTGGCGCAGCGGTTGAGCTCTGGGTTGCGAAGCTGCCCATGGCCTCTGCAGAGCTGGTTCGATCCCCGGCTGCTCCCCGGCCACCAGAGGAGGGTCCCACATGGCGCGCAGACCTCTCCTGCCGCCCGCTGCTCCCCTCAGCAGTGTACTTCGGTCCTTCTGCCTGCTCTGCTCCCCGCTCTGGCTCTGGTGAATTCTCTCACCCTCCCGCGCTTCTGACTGTACCCAGTGCTTGTATAAATAAATAAAAATTAAAAATAAATAAATAAAAAATAAAAAATATTTGCAATTCAAAAAATTGTTAAAAAAAAAAAAAAAGATAGCAGGGAGCCGCTACTGGCATGAGTTCCATCCCCAGCCAGGGAGCTGACCCACAGGGCACAGCAGACCTCTCCTGTCTTGCCCACTGCCCCCCTCGGCAGTGTATTTCAGTCAGTCTGCCTGTTCTGCTCCCAACTCTGTCTCTGGTGAATCCTCTTACCCCCTATAGCTGTGGCCTGCATCACTGTCCTTGTATGCATAAATAAATAAAAATAAATCTTTAAAATAAAATAATTTCTGTATTAATGGAGGCACGGTTTTGTCACTGGAAGTGCTGAGGGGCAGCTCTGCAGCAGTTTTCATCGTTGTTGAGAAACAATTCTCTGGACTTGGTATTAATGTGACACACTTGTTTGTCTTGATTACATAAGTACATCCAACATGTGAGGAACTGCACTTTCACCCCTCTATGACAAGGAGAAGCCCCATCTCAGTCCTTGCCTGATGAATTGATACTAACATATTTAGACCTGTTGTAAATGTTCTCACCACCTTTTTTTTTTTTTTAAATAATTGTATAGTGACTGGTGGTGACTTTCTAGCAAAGCCTTTTTTTTTTTTTTTTTTAAGATTTGTTTATTTATTTATACAAGCACTGGGTACAGTCAGAAGCGCAGGAGGGTGAGAGAATTTGCCAGAGCAGGGAACAGAACAGGCAGACTGACAAAGAAATACACTGCTGAGGGAGCAGCGGGCTGCAGGAGAGGTCTGCGCGCCTTGTAGGACCCTCGCCAGTGGCCGGGGAACCAACCGCGCTGCAGGGGCTGCGGGCAGCTTCGCAGCCCAGCGCTCAACCGCTGTGCCACCAGGGAAGGCCCCTCACAACCTTTTTATAGATCTTAAAACTTGCCTCTAAAAAGTTTTTTCTAGGAAAAAAGTATCTTCTAACAGGAAAATTAAACTACATTTAAAAATATCTTAAATAGCTTTATAATATTTCTAACTTTTCCTCATGTTTGTTGCCTAATAATCTGACTCCCACCTCCAGCCCCTTTCTCTGGAGGTGCTCTGGTAATGCTGGTGCAGGGACGTGGCACAGCCAGAGAGAAAGTCCAGCTAGCCAACTCCTTGTCTCGGATCATTGGAGATGGCAGATTTTAACTGTGAAATTTGACTAGAAAATAAAAATTTTAGGGGCTACTGTATTTGAAACCCTGTGGTCCAAAAATCCCTAATGTATCTGTAGCTCTCTCTCACTTTTTTTTAATAAACTCTTAAAAAAGGCTTAGAATGTTAAAGCATCCTGGTTATATAATACCTTACCTCTGTGTCCCTAGGTGCATTCATTTGATGGTAGCAAGGAAGCAGCAGCTGCTTTGATTGACTTGGATCTCTATGTAGGATTTAATGGTTGGTAAGTTCTTAAATTGTTTTTTTTTTTTTTAATTTTAGCAGATTTAAGAAAAACTTTGCAGTGAATTGCTGATAGAAGATTTAAATTTATTTTATTGACGTTTCTGTGTGTTTTGCATTGACCTTGATCTAAGAATGTCAGTAATTATATGTGTAAGAATAGTACATGACAATTAGAAGTTAAAACTTGAAAATTATAAACTACTATCCTGTGTTCCATTAATGGAAAATATTCTGTGTTAAGGTTAGCAGCTCAACTTATTCTCAGTTCATTTTGTTCCTTTAAAACTTTCTTGATCAAGTGCTCGGTTCAGCAGCACATATACTAAAACTTTCTTGATCATGTCATTAACATGTACATAGTCATAAGTGATGTCTGATGATGGAGAAGAGGTCGTCTGTAACATGATTATCTTGTATGTCTCTGTAGGCCCAGAAACTGAATTCAAGGAGCTGGTATAAAATAGCTACAAGGGTGGAAGCCAGGGTCCTCTGGCTTCTCATTTGGTGACCTTTCTGCAATTATAACCACACCAAACCTCATGTGCCCAATTCAGTCAGCTAGCACGGGTGGGTCCCTGGGCTCACTTTCTTCCAAATAATTTGATGAGTTTCTACCAGTCTTTACAAGATGTCAGCGTAGCTCATAAGTAAACTGTGTCCCCTCACTGGTTTTATTTCCTTAAAATTATTACTTTTCTGATGACATAATTTTCTACTAAGATCTCTTTAAAAAATAGAATCATGAAATTGCTTATTTGCTATAGAATTCAGACTTTTAAATGTTCTGGATACTTTTTCATATTTTAAATTATGTGACTTATAAATTAATATGCAAAGGAATATATGCATAAGTATTAAAAAGTCAAGTAGTATTAGAGGGCTTATAAAAGTCTTTCCAACCCATTTCTCATATTCAAGAGGCAACCACTTTGCTATTTAACCACTATATAAATTAAGGTATATGAGCATTTAAGTTCTTATATTCTACACTCTGCCCCTCCCTATTTTTTCCTCCTTATTCCTTCCACTGTAGTTATTCCTGAATTTTTGGTTATATGTATATTCAGTGTTTTCATTATGTCTGTAAATATTATTGACTGCTGAACCATAAGGTTTGCCAGTTTCTGATTTTCTTGCAGTAACATATGTTTTATTTACTTGGCTTTCTTTAAAACATGAAGCCTCCTCACATTTTTTGACAGCTCAGTTAAATACCTTTTTCTGTTTTCCACACAAGGAAAGCTGTCTAGATCATCTAATAGTTCCATTAATAGAGACCCTTCCATCTTTCTGCTTGTTTGAACTAGTGTCTCTTCGCTGCTAGGTCCTTTATATTCCATTTTTTAAAGATGAAACATATGTTTGAAAAAAATTTATTTTATTCTTCCTTTTGAAAATTTGTCTGGAGAGCTAATGAAAGGAAAAAATAAACACTTCCACTTCATATTGACATTTTTTCCAGGCAAAAGATTATAGATTAGAAATCATTTTCTCTGAAAAGTTAGTGTTTCATTTTTATGCTCCTGTGTTAAGTCAGTTGCTATTCTGATTCCTATTCCTTTCCTTGTGACTTCCTTATTTTTTCTCCTGTGGAAGATTTTAGTTCTTTTTCTCTGGTTGTATCAAGCTTCACTGAAGTTGTCATTCGTTTTGCATTTCTGTTGCCAGCTAAAGGCTCATCTGTAGGCCCTGGGAAATAGTCTCCATTTTTTTTCTTCTTCTGTTTGACACTTTCAGGCTGACTCCGATCATATTTTTATTCTACAATGTCTCTCTTTTCTCTCTACTTTAGAGTGCTGCATTTTGCAGGCTTTTAAATGAAACTTCAGCTTTTGTTTACAATCTCTAAACATTTTTTAATTATTAATTTTTTTTAAAGATTTATTTATGCATACAAGAGCTGGGGCACAGGCCAGAGATGCGGAGGGGGAGCGGATTCACCAGAGATAGAGTGGGGAACAGAGCAGGCAGATGGACCGAAGACACTGCTGAGGGGAGCAGTAGGAGAGTCAGGAAAGGTCTGCTACACCGTGTGGGTTGCTCCCTGGCTGGCCAGGTATCGAACTCGTGCTGCAGAGGCTACGGATTGCTTCATAGTGTGGTACTTAACCCCTTGTGCCACCAAGGAGGCCCCTAAACATTTTTTATTACCATAATCTTTGGTATATGCAACATCTTCTCATCTCCTTAAAGATATGAATTAGTTTTTAAAAGTTATTTTCTGTTTGCCCAATAATAATTTATGTTTCCTGTGTCCCCTTATCCTTTTGTCTCAGTCATGATGGTGGCTTTCTTCAGCTGCTAGGCAGCTCTTTTTTTTTAAAAAAAAAGATTTATTTATTCAAGAACTGGGGTACAGGCCAGAGGCATGGGAGGGTGAGAGGACTCACCAGAGGCAGAGCAGGGAACAGAACAGGCAGACGGACCGAAGACACTGCTGAGGGGAGCAGCAGGCAAGACAGGAGAGGTCTGCCGTGCCATGTGGGTATCTCCCTGGCTGGCCAGCAATCAAAACCCCACTGCAGAGGCTGCGGACAGCTTCACAGTGCTACACTTCACTCAACCCACTGCGCCACTGGGGAGGCCCTGCTAGGCAGCTCTTTGCTGAATATTTCAAAAAAAGAGAAAAGAGCTGTTTGGAGCTTTGCGATGAGAGAGCCCATCAACTGGCTGACTGTTAGCTGCCAACCGATTGTCACCAGGTCCCGAAATGTCCATATGTTGGTTCTTCTGAGGTGGTTGTCTCTCCAGAGAGGGTGCCTCTGATCTCCGCGGGAAAACTGGTATGGGGACTCATTGAAGTACCTGTGTTCTGGAGCAAGTGGGGTCAAAGAGAAGATCTCACAGTACACCGCCTCCAATCTGCAACCCCATGCCTCAGCCCCAGTCTTTGTGCCTGTTGTTCTCTCCTCCAGTCTCTGGTTCGTTCTCCAGAGACTACACTCTACCCTCTCTCAGGACAGGGCTGGGGGCAGAAGTAGTCTTCTCTGAACCAGTTCACTGGAAAGTAATCTGAGAGCCCCATCTTGTCTTTGCCCTGACTTTTCAAAAGATTCCCATTTCACTTCCCTGCCTTGCCCAGCCTATTTAAATGCCTGGTTCTTCCTTTTCCTTGAACTTTGTAAGTGGATTAGTTTGCTTGTCTTCAGTATCTCTCTGCAGGCCTGTATTTGATAATTTGGTGACAAGTTTTAAATTTAGTATCCGTATCAAACGTACGTGTGTGTGTGTGTGTGTGTGTGTGTGTGTGTGTGTGTGTGTACTGACCAAGTGTTAAGATGGTTGAAAATAAGATAATTTTTTCCTAGGGGAAAACTGCTTCTTAAGCCAAACTAGACACATATTTCCTTCCCATTCCTAAAATCTTACTAAAATAAAATTATTCCTAAAATCTTACTAAAATAAAATAGGAGAAAGGAAAACGTAGAAGGGGAAAGAAAAAGGCTGGAGGCTTGCTAGTGGAGAAATATCTGATAGATTTCTGGGAGACAAGTGAAACTTGGAGAGAGAGCTTAGATTTCACCCACTGAAGAGGCTCAGAGATAGCAAGTTTTGCCAATAAAAATCTCAGAGGCTCTGGGCATAGAGTTAGTGAGAAATAGACCAAAATAGAGTGATTGAAGGCCTAAAGAAAGGTATCACCACCAGTACGCCCTCCCATAGACAAAGTGCTAAAGCAGAAAGAATTTATGCTCAAGGGAAAATAATTCTCAAAAAAACTGAACACTGTATAGTGAAGCCAAAACTTAGAATGAGTACATTGCTCCAGAGGGAAGCATGAAGAGAACCAGTAGCCTCACAGTTAGCTCTCTGCCCTCTCACCCTTAAACACAGCATGCCCCATCCTACAAGTTGCTTCCAGTAAGAAACCTACACAGAGACCTGGCTGTAGTATAGTCCTGTTTACAAAAAAAAAGAAGAAACCCAACACTGGCAACCCAAGTTGATATAAATTGATAGCCAAGGACCTTGAGGTGAATGAGATGAACTGGCAGGAAAAAAACAAAGTAACTAGAAACCAAGGAAACACTTAATAAGGGAAATGAGCTTTAAAGAGAACCTGATGTAGTGAGATTTGAGCTGTACCATTCATTAAATGAACAGAATGCTACAAAAAACATAAGTTAGAGCTCCTCAGAGATGAAAAATGTATGTCAGTGTTCAAATATTAGCACCTTTGGAGGAAACTGGGGAACAGCACATTCAACATAAAGACATAATGCTTTTACCCCTATAGAGTCCACTGGATACCTAAATAGTAGGCAGATGACATTTTTCTTTTATAGAAGTATTCTAGTTAGTAGATGGGAGGATTGATAGAATTATATCAAAATTTTGCAGTTTTTGTATTGGGTACCCATGGCTTGGCTGCCTTACATCATAAAAAATATGACCAGACTTTTTATGCCTCTAGATAGAAGCTCATACTGCCATCTGTGAAAGTCTTGCCCTCCCTCAAAAAATTCCAGCCTGAATCTGATCCAGACTCTGGTACTATAGTTCTCTTGATAAGAATACAGAGGAACCTGTCAAACTGAAGCACAGAACTGAAATCAATACTGGAAAACTCTTTAGGCAAACAACTAGGTTTCTTCAAAAAATAAATGTGAAGGTATTGAAAGAATTGCAGCTTGTGGCCTCTCCTGGTGGCGCAGTGGTTGAGCACTGGGCTACGAAGCTGCCTGCAGCCACTGCAGCGCTGGTTCGATCCCCGGCTGCCAGCAAGGGTCCCACTTGGCACGCAGACACCTTTCTGCCGCCCGCTGCTCCCCTCAGCAGTGTACTTCGGTCCTTCTGCCTGCTCTGCTCCCCGCTCTGGCTCTGATAAATTCTCACCCTCCCACGCTTCTGACTGTACCCAGTGCTTGTATAAATAAATATTTTTTTTAAAAAAATTGCAGCTTGATAGATCAGTGGATTTAGCAAACCTTGATCAATTATGTATCCTTCATTTGGATCCTCAAACCTAGAGAGAATGTATGCCATTGAAATACTTCAAATACTAGATATATTGATAAAAGAGATGGGTTTTTATTAGACATAATAGCATTGTGCTTATATATTTTTTAAAAAAGTCCTTAATGCCTAGATACATGCTGAAATATTTCCTGAAATAAACATTGAAATGCTGAAACTATACTTTGGGATTTCCTTCAAGATAATATGAAAGGGTGGGGGAAGTGGATGGACAGAATCTGCCAGGGGTTGATACTTGGTGGGACTGGTTGATGAAAACCTTGGGGTTCTGGGGCCTCCCTGGTGGTGCAGTGGTTGAGTGCTGGGTTGCGAGGCTGCCTGCAGCCTTTTCAGCGTGGGTTAATCCCTGGCCGACGAGGGTCCCACAAAAAAAAAAAAAAAAAAAAACCTTGGGGTTCTGGATTATTGTATGTGTACCTGAAATTTCCCATAACAATTATAATACATGGCGAAGTTAAAATGTAACATAAGGACAGTATTAGTCATCTAACAACATCTAACAACATCTAGCAAACCATCCTAGAACTTAGTGGCATATTACAGTAAGTATCTTTGTGTGTGGGTCTTTGGGTCACCTGGTTTGACAGATAAAAGGGTTAGTTCTCTGCCACAGGCTACATACAGGGTTCACATTTGTACCATGTTTTTTCATTCTGTGCACCATGCAGGCTACTCAAAAGATTGTGAAAAATGTCACCCGTACACATAATTCTAACAGTGAAGGTGATTTTTCTGAAAATTCTTTAGTGATTCATGAAACATAAACTTTGAGCCTCTAACACTGATTCTTCATACCAGTGAATCTATATTTGGCCCATCTCTTTGGGCAGCTAGTGAGGGCTTTTAAGTTAGGCAAATTACTCAGAGAAGCAAATTCTTTCAAGAAAGGTAAATTTTTACTTAGATTTGATAGAATTTATTGGCAGTTGGTAAACATAAACAGTTGGATCCTCCCCCCAACCTCCCCACCCCGCCAGTCCCCAGTTGGAATTCTTAATCTGCATTCTCTGCGGATAGGAATGTACAAACACTTCCTAAAGTAGCGCGCCACTGTGACACGTTGGTTTGTTTAGGATCTGGGTTTTGTAAATTTTTAGACAAGTTTATAATATGAAAAAGTTATTCATTAAATTTACCTTTTAATATGTAAATACCATTTTTTTTAAGCTCACTGAAAACTGAGGCTAATTTGGAAGTTTTGAAGTCAATACCTAGTGAAAGACTAATGATTGAGACAGGTAAGTTTGGTTTTAGAACCTTGATTTTCCTCTTCAAGTAGACAGAAAAGAGTAAAGTCAACAATTAATATGCTCAACCTCAGCAGTTTTACACTTTTCAGAAAACTTGGACAGTGTTATCAATTGATGGAAAAATATTTGTGCAAGCAGTTTTTTCAAATTTAGAAGTTTGACTCAACTAGGCAGTTAAAAACGGATGTCTTAATATGTGGAAACTAAGGAGGTTGTAGTTATGGTTAAACTAGGCCTCTTAACTAAGCATTTTACCTCAGAATTCTAGATCTATTGTCAGTTTGCTTTTTAACAGTCTTCTTTGTAATGGCTTCATTCTACTATACTATTTAAATAAAATGCAGAAATTTAAATCAAACTAGTCTAAGACTTTAAACTTAAAAGATAATGTTGCCCTCAATAAAAGATTAGAAGGTAAAATTTTTATCTAAACTCTGGAACAAAAGACTCTGCTTATATACACGGACTTTAGTAAAATCAAGAACGTAGAAATAAGAATGACTTCTTAGGGAGTCGTGAAAACGAAATGATTTTGTTTAAAGTGTGCTTATAAAATGTGTAAGCAATTGTAGTTCCTTATGAGAAAAATAGGTCAGCACCTAAAGCCACTCTCAAATTCACTAAAGGCAGAGTTTAAATGTTTTCCTATCACAGTGTATTTTAGGTTCCTTTTCTAAAGCGCCACACACCATCAATGATGTTAGCAGAAAAAAATAAAAGTCTTGTAAAGCACTTGAGTTTGTACAATCAAGATTCTATCGTGCTTTTTAGCACTGTGCTGTTTTTTGTTGCAGTTTTAGTATGTGTTAGAAGTTATAGATTTGATTTTTTTTAATTTAACAGTAATTTTTAAAGATAAGAGACTTCTTTGCTTAATCCTAGATGCACCTTGGTGTGGAGTCAAAAGTACACATGCTGGATCAAAATACGTAAAGACTTCATTTCCCACAAAAAGAAGTGGGAAAACAGGCACTGTTTGAAAGATAGAAATGAGCCCTGCCATATAATGTAAGTATTTTGATTTTATGGTCTTAAAAAACATTAAAGTCAACAGTAAATGTCAGTGGATTCAAGGGAATTAAAGGTGGTTGATATTAAATGGAGATCAGACCGCCACGTAATGAGTGATGTAGAGGAACTTACCCCTGACCTCTAGCTCAGCTCCTCTTTTGAGAGCCTCTCAATCCAAGTGGCATATCACACCAGAGAAGATGTGATTTGGGTTATTTATCAATTTGTAGGAGAGGGGAAGATCATGAAGCTACCCATAAACTTACCTCACTTGGTTTAAAAGTTCTCTTGCCTTGTAGCTTCCCTGCTAATTACAAAACTGCAATCTTAGCAGGTGACCTTTTTGATTACATATGTATTTTCAATGATTGGAGAACATGAATAACCTAAGAACATACTTCTTTAAACCTCTGGACAAAAAGAGAAGTTGTAAAATTTACTTTTCCCACTCATCCCACAAAGTGTATCGTTTATGCTAATACATAGCACATGTGAAGAGGGCTCCTGTAACAAGGAACAGTGGGGCATTTTATGACTTTTAAGAAGCTTCTTACACCTTTTCAGCGTCTTTTGTTTGTACAAACATAATTTAGATCTACATCATATCAGTATATATGTTGTATCAGTTCAGGCAACCAGATATATTTATAACACACTTAGAAAAATTATGAATTCTTGCTTTTAGACTGTAGTAACTTCCTGCATATGCATCATCTTTCAGTAATTTTTAACAGGTTAGAAGAGCCAGATCCAAAATTCACAAGACAGAAAATTACAGAATTATTCTGTAAAAATATTGGAATGATTCTTTTCCTTTAATAACTTAGTGTTGGCAAAGACTTTAAAACCAAATGTTTTTGAAAACTGCAGGGTTGAGGAATATATTTAAATTCTGGTTAGTAAGGAATCACTCCTAATTTTTGTGAAATATAACTTGCAAATTCAATCAGGTGACAGTATGTCTGAATAATTCCTTGGAGATTGAACAGGACACTAAAAACAAGAAATGTTTTTCCAGCAGTCATTTTAAAGCATTATATAGTTGCAACCAGTTGTAATTTTCTATATTGCTTAAGGCAATTTTTTATATTGCCTTAAGCTGTTGACTTTGACTGCACATTTACATGACAAAATTTTAAAGTGCTTCTAAAATGCAGACCATTAAGAACCAAGAGGCTTGATTATCAGCTGCTATCCTTAATACCAGAGTTGAATATAGGCAGAGCTCGCAAAACCAACATTTGCACACTGAAAAGTATTAAATGATACTTCAAAAATAGCAGTGTCTCTAGTCTAATTCTAGTTACTAATTAGAAGTTAATCTTCATTTACAAATCCATTTTAATCAAACTCCATCTATTATGTTTCCTCCTAAAATTTTAAGTTCCTTGAAACACATTTTGGAGCTCTTACGTCAGGAAGGTACGAGCTACTAAGGCTACACTAGATGAGTTTTGGTACTTGTGTGTACTTTGGATAAAGAAGTAAACAAGGGAAGATTAAGAATTGCCATCCTGGAGCAAGTAAACACATAAAAGTTAAAGTCCAAGATAGTAGTGCCCTCGTAGATAGGAATGTATGACTGGATCTATGGGCCATATCAACTACCTAACTTGCAGGGAAATAAAGGTGACATTTCAACTGTTTCCAAGTACACTTGGGAGTTATGCCAGACCAAGGCAAACACCTTGAGCAAAGACAGACTGCAGGAGCAAAGACAGACTGCAGAAGGGCTAGGTGCTCTGGGGAAACAATGAATTTAGTGTGGCAGAAAGTAGGATGTACAGGAAAGTGAGGTAAGTGATAAGTCTGGGAAGAAAGGCAAAATGAAGCCAGTTGTGAGGGCCTCTTTTATGCCAATCTTAGTTTAGATTTTATCAGGACCTGACAGATTTTAAGCAGGAAAGTATCGTTTCTCTTTTTAAAAGCAGTCATTGTTTGACGTCAATGTGGAGCAAGGACTGGAGCTGAGTGACAGAAAACATTGATTTTACACATTACTATGCATGTAAATTCTAATTCCAAGTTGTTAATAAAGGAAAATTCTGTAATTTACTAAGAAAAATGTATCATTAATTGCTTTTAGCATATTTTGACTGTCAGATAAAAATTAGTCACTTCATTTAATATATACTTTATTATTATAGAAAGAGAAATTGATGACACCTGAGCTATCTTTTTCAGGGGAAAAAAGTGTACGGATGAGAAAGTTCCAACCCCCCTTAACCATTGTTCCACTAACCTCTAACTTTCTTTGCTGTCATTGAGCTAGTGAAAATACAGCAGTTTCTTGCTATCTTTAAAGGTCTCTAAGCAGTGGCTTTACAATTTGGCTCTCTTCCCATATGACCTACAGTGTGACTCGGTACACATGTACATGTGTAGTGTACTTTTCCTTTAAACTTTTTAAATGCCCATCACGACCTACTAGTATATGTGTTCTGACCCACAGTTTAAAAGGAGTCTTCCACTGTGTAAAGTCCGTAATTGTAGCACATGTAATATAGGCTGGTCTTGTGACTTATTTTAACCAGATTCTTGGCTCTAGTCATATGCAAGACAACACAGAAATCTGTCTCTAATTACTTTAAAGTATCCTAACAGTTTAACTGTTCTGTTGATATTGCTGAAAACCGTATACCTGTTAAACTACTGCTTAATAAGTTTAGGATACTTAAACTTGTATCTTTATGTGGAAAAGATGTGCTTGGAAATTTAATCATCTGGTTTGGTTTTGTTTTAGTCAAATACTGGAGATAATGTCAGCAGTAAGAGATGAGGATCCCCTGGAATTAGCCAATACACTGTATAACAACACCATGAAAATATTTTTTCCTGACATGTAACTGCTATATCTTCCATTTTACATCATGTCTGTAAAATTTCATGGTAAAGTATATCAAAAGTTTTAATAAAGGAATCTGGATTTAAAGACACGTTATATATTGCTGTACACCATCACCCTCATTTTTATCCATAAAGTCAGATCAGGATTGTTTTAATATCACCACCTTTAATGTCTTAGTTTAAAACAATGAAAAACCCCCAAGTGTTTCATCTTGTAATCTCTTCAGAAGTCTAAAGGACAATGTTATGTCAGTGCTGCAAACACAGAACGGCTAACAAACATACTGATTTTTACATCAAAATTACACAATTAGCACATTCTGGTTTATACCAAAGTTTACTCACACAATCTCTGAATCATGACTTTCGAAGCCGGCTCAATTACAGTGCTACTCTCAAATTTCAAAAAAGTGTCTCAATCATTTCTGGCAGACTTTTTTCCTGAGTTGTAAAATACTTCATGTATAGCCTTTATCCTTTGGTCCAAATTATTTTATTTCCTTGATTTAATGCAGTTTCCTCTGAGAAGCATTTTCCCACCCATTTTAAGAAAAACTACGTTCCAGAATTAGAGAGAGATACTTTCATTGAGGAATCTTTGGCACAGTTGACGCACCATATTATTACATCTATTAAAAAGCTATTTGTTCAAATTTTGTCATAAAAACGTGAAAACATTTTATTCTATGTACAATAATGTACACAAATTTAAATAGGTCACCAAAGAGACCAGAAGTAATTAAAGAGGTATATTTACAGTAGCACATCACAGTAAACGGAAAACCATTCACAGATTCAACATTGATACTGTTTTTGTGCTTGGTTACACATTAAAGTGAAGCATATTACTCCGTTTTGGATGAACTGAATTTTAAACAAATACCTCAATGATTAGTAAATGCTATTTTAATCAGTATCATCATTAATAAATTCTTCAGCTGCTGCACCTGTGTGCTGAATCACTCCATTTCTTTCTCTTTGCACATCATCATCATAATCTGTACTGTCATCTTCGTTCAACTCCCTGTCAGATTCAGCAGCAGCAGCAGCAGCAGCAGCAGCAGCAACAGCAGCGTCTCTTACAACTTCCTCTGGATTTTCATTGGGTGCAATAAATCCATTGTTGTTAGATATATTTGAATTATCCTTGATATCATCTTCGATGTACACTTTCTGATGGCACATTGGACAAGTATCTTGAATGTACAGCCATTTCCGAAGGCAAAGTGCATGGAAATAATGATTACATGGTGTGATACGAGCAGATGTTGTAAACTCATGGTAGCAGATTGCACACACATCATCTATTTCTTGCAAGCGGCTCCCTTTTATTTCAGGAAGTGAATTAATTTTCTTAACAGCGGTCCTACGATTCATGAATGTCTTCCAGCCATTTTTTGCTTGTAAGTAGATGTTAAAATATGCATGGAGACACATCATACAAGCGCGAATTTTACTTCCTGACTCAAACATCATGGTATAAGCCCCATTTCCAAACATTACTACTCCAAATATAAACTCAATAATATTGCCTGTTGAACGAACATAATAGACATAATCATCAAGCTTTTCCCAGAGGACGTTATAGTAGCCGTCAATCATGAATAACGTATAAACAGTGAGAGAAACAATTACTTTTAAGCAGAGCTCAACACAAAAGGCTGTCACTGCAAACAACCATGTATTTAGTGCATAGTGATGCCAGAGAACGTAACTCAGTAAGACGGGAAGAATGAACAGGCAGGCGGAGACAAAGAGCACAGGAAAATGTCTACGAAAAGATGACACATGAGAGGCACTGAGCGACATTAACACAGGGTCTGTCATTCCATGGATGAAATGGAGGACTGCGGTTAATAAAAGGCACATGTTTCTACTTAAGCGAATAAGTCTTTCTTCTGGTCTCAGTCCACTTAGACCAGTCTGCAGAGCCAAAATAAAAAATAAAACGGGTGCTACAAAGCCAAGCCGCCTATCATCTTCTTCAGTTGAGCCAATAAAGGCTAAGATCCCAAGGCCCAGATAATGGGCTACTGAGGAAATTACAGCACTCATGCCCAGTACAGTTAGTGTAGAATCACAACCACTAATTATAAGATTGCAAATGAGGTCCCAGAAATCATCCCAAGAAATAAAGAAGGAATCAGTTTCATTTGCCATCCTTAAAATGTACATTAACACTGTAGCCTGAGCTGTAATTCTTGTTAGCCAAAAGACTCGAAGTATATCTGGAAAACGAATCCTCTTCCATGTGTCTTCCATTAATAACTGTAATCCATAAATTCGATACATGTGCCTCACTAAAAGATAAACATATCTTGTGGAATAATAAAACCACTTAAGTTTCACTGCCAAGACAAGTACTGTATTTAATGTGAGAATCAAGGAAGAAGCAAAAACTAAAGTCTCTCGGATGTGTAATGGTAGCTCTGTGATTAAACCTATTATAGGAACCAAGAGATCCAAAATAATTAATTGTGAATAGATGGAATGAATCTGGAGTAGTGTGATGTATCCAATTCCAAATGTCAGCTGCAGAACGATGAGTACCATCCATAGTGAAGGGCCTTTCCGAGGAAGCAGCTCGATTCCAAAAGCTGATGTGTTGTAGGCACCATAGAAGTCAATGTGCAAAGAAGCGTAATAATTTACCAACACTGACGTTGCAGCTAAGAGAAAGGCTGAGCTGTACATGTAAAACTTGAAAAGTGATCGCTGTGACAAAATCAGAACAATACTGGATACAAATAGACCTAAAAAAAAAAAAGAAAAAAGGTCTTTTGAATAAAACATTTTAAAGAGTATTTCTCTACCACGGGCTAGGACGTTCTTCCTTTAATTAGGAAATATGAATATTTTCAAAGTTATGAACATGAAGCCTGAAGACATATTCATTGACAAAGGCAAATAAAGTTTGTGTTAAAGTTGCGCCAAACTTATTTTTTTAAATCTCATCCCTTATTTTCTAATTTCCTATTTTCCAATGTAATACAAGTAGTATTGTAAGTCTAAACATCAAATCATTAAACTATCTTTAAGAGGAGTTTGTAGTGACTCACGCATTATAACAAGTTTTTAAATCTTGAAAGAACATGCCCTTTATAATTTCATAATCATTAAAAATGCTTCATTACAAAAAACTGAGTTAAAAATAACCAAGAAAAAATTTGTTCTTACTGGATTATTTTTGTTAAGTAGTAGTGTTCTTTTGCATGTCAAGTTTAAGTTATACACTTCCTCTTTTTCCTCAAATGAATTTCTGGTGGATCTTATTTTTCCTTAACTTTGAGCATTTCCAAATTCAGTTTTTCCTCTACATACTTTTCTACAGATTTCACGTATGTCCTCCAAGTTCCCTTTACCCTGTATAATGCTGAATCTTTTTTCTTCAAATAACCAATCCTTTGCAATGTTCTAACAGCCATTAAGACCAAATCTTGTTAAAAGAAGATGGTGGTGTTAAATCAACACCACACAAGTTAATGCATATCCAGCACCATCTTTCTTTGCGCTCTGGCAAATGTTTTTAAGCAAGATTAAATATTCACCTGTTCCACTTATACAATGGCAACCTTCAAATCTTTAAAACCTAATTCCTCTCAAACAGCTCTTTGTGATTTCCAATAGCAAAAAAAAGTAGCATTACTGTTCTCTTAATGGTGCTTCTAGCCCTAGACTCTCAAACTTTTTTAACAATTAGTTGCCAAATTCTACTAACATCTGTACCTCCCTTTTCCTCAGGAAACTATTAAGTCTGTCTCTAAAAGCTCATCTTGTCCACATCCACCTACAAAGTCATCACCACATTGACTTCATCGCTCTACTCAAAATGCTGCAGTGGCTCTGAAATTACTATCAACTAAAATCCAAATTCCCTGTCCCAGCATTCAAGTATCCAATGAGCAGCGTCCCTCCAGCGGACACACACACTGCCAACTTCCTTCCAAATCCACCAGCTTCTCTGCTTCCCAAAATCCCCCAGGGTCCAAGTCTTACAGACCCGTTTCCTCTGAGCGCTGACTCTTCCTTCAGCACACCTACAGACATGGTAAGACATACTACATCTTTGTTGTGGTTATCTGAGTAGGTATCATCTACCCTATCACATAATGCTCGATAGCAAGCAAGGGTCCTCCTTTGCACATCTACAGATACCAAAATAGTCTGTAAAAATAAATACAATTAGTATTCATTGGGAGAATCAGTGTTTCTGTCAAATTCTGAATTGTTTTAAAAGCAACCATAAAACATCCTGCTTGGGAGTTAAAACCTATGAAAGGGTAAGACAAAAGCTGAAAAACCAGAGCTTGAAGTAAAGGAAAAGAAGAAAACAATTTAAACACACATCTCGATCCACCGTAACTCAGCATGTAATCAGGAAAGACACTGCATATTACAGTTACAGTGGGGGCATTTCACAATCTGTTTTGTGTAAAAGCAAAGATGAGTTCCTCTAACTGATGAGTTTGCCCATGGACTTCACAGTTTATCCTGTGTCAGGCCATTTGTGAAAAAGAGAACAAAAGAACACAATTAACTGGAAGACACAGTCCTCTTCCTACAAACCCCCTTCCACCCCATGCACCAAGCTAGAGGGCTGCTCCTTGTCTCCCAGCGGTGACAGCTGGGAATAGGTCCTTTCACTGTAAATGGACTTCAATTTTTCAAAGAATTGGGAAGCCTTTCTAAAGAAGGTAACAAAAAAAGAGAATTAACTCCACCTTTGTATGCTTTACGTAATCTTGCTTTCCCTGTAAGAAAAACAATACTCCGGAGACAAACCTTAACCTAAGGTGAGTCAAAACCAAAATAACTGATTCCATTTTATGCTACTTCAAAGGGCGTAAATCAAGCAGTGACTACATATTGTTTTTGTCAGTTTGCTATTCCCAAAGTGGTAAATTAATCTTTGCCTGTGAATATTCATGAACTTTGCTGTAATTTATAACTTTTTTTCATTATAATAGTTTTCACCCCGGAAATTTATTTTTCCGTACAAATGAAGGAATGATTTGGGATTTAGAAATACTCGTACAGAAATGGAGTTTAACCTGCCGCAAAGGAAAAAGGGGGAAGTGTGATGTGAT